AAGAGAGAGAGAGAGAGAGACAGAGACAGAGACAGAGACAGAGACAGAGAGAGACAGAGAAAGAAAGACAGAAAGACAGAAAGACAGAGAGAGAGAAGGGGTGGGGGAGAAAGCTACCCATTTTCTAATCTGTATTATTTCTATTGTAGGAGATATGATATTCTCTGTCAGCAACTAGGAAGTAAATTCCCACTTTATGATGACAAATTACCGCACCATGTGTTTGACTAATCCATATTTCAACAGGAGATAAAAAGATACGGGCTGCGGGTAACTGTGTCAAACTGATCTCAGATTAATTTCCTGTCAAGTTTTTCTACCGCTGACCTCGTGATAATTTCCTGTACGCTTTGTTATGAAATGACGATGATTATTCGGGAACGGGTCACCATATTCCAACCACTTCCGCCTCTCAGGGGGTCATTATACCCTCACATTGGACTCAAAGTATACCAAGTTTCTTAACCATTATCAAGTGTCATATCTGCGGAAAACATCGGCAATCATTGATTTCCATTCATTATGTTGCATAAATGCTCTTTAAAAAAAAAGCTACATTATCTTGAACTGTCAATGTTACCCTTCTGTTTAGGCTCTTCAAGTAGGTACAGCTGCTCTAGGTCTACCCCTGCCTCGTTTATCTTCTAAATAAATATAAATGGCAGCGCATTTTATTTATATCTGTATCATCGAAACCTGAAGGAACACTCTACGATTAAACTGTTGTCTTGTACCTCAAGTTTTTCCTAGATAATTAGGAGTCAGAAGGCAGACTAATCGACCATTAGTTTAGTTTTAGTAGAGGTTTTACGGCGCTCGCAAATGCATAATAAGGTCATATGAGCGCCAGAAGATTAGAGGTGTTACAAGAGAGTAACAAACATAAAAAAAGAAGAAGGGGAGATAAGGACGATAGATGTTCGATAGGAAAGAAGAAGCAAACCATACCAGAGCACCCGCCAAACAACCACTAATCGACCATACCTGTCAGGAAAATCCCAATAGTAAAATAAACAACACCCTATCAGAAGAGAAGACGGTTTGTCAGGAAATAAACTTTCCCCATCTGGGAATAAAACCCATGTCTTCGGTGTGTCAGAAGAGCCTAACCATGAGTTAGGAAGGGCAAAACGTTCTCTTTGAGGTTTGTGTTGTTCAAGACATGCACGTCTCTCATAAAATTCCTGAGTAAACAATAAATTAATATTTCTTGTTTTATGTGTAGCACTAGCATGTAGCATGCATAGTAAGAGAAAATTCAGGAAAAATGTGAATAGTATGCTCCCAGACTAACTTACATACTGGGTTTTGAACACGGCATAAAAGGAAATTTGGTGGTACGCTTACTTTGACAGAGAGGGGTTTTTTTCTTTCTAAAGCAGTCTAGATAAACTTTGTAAAGTCATGTAGAATGACGCAGTCTTTTTTCAGTAGAAGAAAAAGAAAAAGGAGGAGGAAGAGGAGGAAGAGAAGAAGAAGAAGAAGAAGAAGAAGAAGAAGAAGAAGAAGAAGAAGAAGAAGAAGAAGAA